TTTTATTTGGGGATGGAATGAAAGCAGACACTCAAGAAATGTGGTGGGTTTATTAGTTTCCTGTTGCTGCTCTATCAAGTGATCACAAAGTTGGTGACTTAACACAACAGAAATGGATTCTCTCGCCAGTCTAGATGACAGAACCCAAAATCAGCATCACTGGGTGCAAACCAAGATGTTGGGAGGGCCTCCCTCCCTCTATGACTCTAGGGTAGCCTCTGCCCTTTGCCTCTTCCAACTTCGGGGGTTGCAGGCATTCATTGGCCATGGCTGCCTCACTCCACTTTAGGCCTCCTTCTTCACATCACCTCTTCTTCTGAATCCTAACAGCAGATTTTTATCTGCTCTAATAAATCTTTTAGTGAGCCAATAACTCTACTAACTAGACAATAAGCAAGAGATCAACTTGCTTATTAGTTTCCTCATCAGTGTGAATTTTTTTCTTCTTCTCCCATTTTCAAAGGGTGAAGAAAAGAAGAGCAACCCTGAGATGCAGTAGAGTGGAAGGAGCGCCAATAAGATAGTGGCAGATGTCCCAGGTGTGAGACACCTTAGGGCATGCCCATGCACACTAATTATAAAATAGAGGCCCGATGCACAAAATTCATGCTTGCCAGTACCAGCTTCCCTCTAGCACCTGGGACCTGGGCTTCCCTTGCAGCCCCAGCTTCGTCCATAAGGTCGTCCGGAAGGACATCCGGTCTAATGAGTATATTATGCTTTTATTATTATAGACTAGAGGCCTGGTATACAAATTCATGCACTGGTGGGGTCCCTTGGCCTGGCCGGCGATTGGGACCTATCAGGGCTGACTGGCGGGCGGGCGGGGTGGAGGGAACCATGGGAGGTTGGCTGTGGCAGTGCACTGACCACCAGGGGGCAGCTCCTGTGTTCAGCATTTGCCCCCTGGTGTTCAATGCGCATCATAGCTACAATCCAGTCATCCAGTTGTGCAGTTGTCCGGTCATAACAGTCGCTTAGGCTTTTATATATATAGACTACTAGAGGCCCAGTGCATGCATTTGTGCATGGGTGTGGTCCCTCGGCCTGGTTGGCAATTGGGGCCAATGGGGACCATCTCAGCCAGTCCTAATTAGGGATAATTGGGGCCAGCTGGCCAGGTGGAGGACCGCAGGAAGTTGGCCAGCCCTGGGAGGTTGGCTGTGGGAGCGCACTGACCACCAGGGGGCAGCTCCTGCATTGAGCTTCTGCCCCCTGGTGGTCAGTGTGCATCATAACGACCAGTTGACAAGTCATTTGTTTGACCAGTCTTAACGGTCACTTAGGCTTTTATATATATAGATATTTTGTACAGATTGCACTCTGATGTATATGTATCATCTAACACACACACACACACACACACACACACACACACACACACACACATATATATATATATATATCTACTTATATAAAAGCCATGGGTGGTGTTCATCACATCCAGAAGAACTGCCGAGACCAAGTGGAAGGAAGTCAGTCCTGCAGGGGTTGTCTTGGCAACGGCTGCGCCCTCCCCCGAGCTGTTTCCTGGAGCTGTTACCTGTAAGGGCGGGGTTTGAGACAGGAACCCGCCCTGGGAGCATGGAGGCAGATCTTTCTAAAGTGTGCCGCATGCCAGCACGGCCAGGGGTGAACCTGAGTGGGGGCAGCTGAAAGGCTTAGAAAAGACAGACAAGAGAATGTAAGCCGGGTCTCAGTGGGACGCTGCTTCTCTGAAAGACAGCAACCACACCCACAGCCATGCCTTTATTTTATAGCAGATGCTACTAGGCAAAGTAAGGGCGTGACCAATCTTTTTTACAGCATTCTCCTGGGTTTCAATCCTACTCAACTACATGCACCTGAACTCT